ACTCAATTTTTTCAACATATTTCTAATCAACTTATTTATTTCATTACGACTAAGAGTATGTATTAAGCACTTTATAAATAAATATATATGTATAATAAACTGTAGTGTCTCTCTGTCACATAAAAAACTATTTTTATGGAATTAGTCACGTTGACAACTGAACGGTATTCACAAATATTCTGAGTAGATTACAACTAAATAAGGTATAAGTAAATTTATTATACAAATGCGAAAAAAATACAATTATTTTTCATGAAAAGGTAACAAGTATTATTGTAAATGATAAAATTGATAGCCTGGGTTTTAGGAAAAAATACAAATTACGTCCTAAATCTTAAATACAAAAACAAATATTACAAAAATATAAAATACTTAACTTTATTCTGCATAAGTGATGCAGTCATCATCACTGATTGGTTCGTCTGTAATAGATCTATCAGTCTTCAAGTTTCTATAATAATTGTGATCAGTAGGTGGTATAAACTTTATGAGATCCATTAAAAACTTCTTTTTTTGCCATGGAGTTCGGTCTTAATTCCTTTAGCCACAAAAACAATTGTTAAAAAGTTCAATTGCCAATGTACTTATCGCAATATAGTAATGAATGATTCAACTATGGAGTTAAAACTATGGAGTTAATTGTTTTGACCATTGAAAAATATTTGTAATCCAAACATGCTATTATTCGTAATTTGAAAAAAAAATGAAGTTAATCGGTTTGGTTTTTGAACGCTTTAAATATTACCTTAAAATACAAAAGATTAAACGATGTTCGATTGATGTAAAAACATTGGATAAGATAAAAAAAAAAAATAAAAAAATACAAATTCTGTTAGTTCACTAAAATCATGGTCTAATTTATTAGAACACTAAATTATTTGCTAATTGTAACGTGAACTCGCAAATTATCCAATGATATTATGTACTATCTTAGAAATCTCGATTTCTTTGGGGGGGGGGCAGGTGTAAATGTTGTTTTACTACCTTTTTTATTCACGCATTATAAAGTCAAGCATAATGCACTGGAATTCTGGTGAATATCCACTCACACATTGACTTTCAAAGTGTTATAAAGCATGGTTGGTGGAGGTGGTTCAGTTAGTACATTGACACGATTTTCTGCGGGTTTCTTCGATAGCCACGATGGCTTCAAAGACCGATTTCCGGAAACGTTGCTTATTTATTCATAGTGAAAGCTTAGGCAAAATTAATAGGGTTGATTTTCAGAATAAAACACTTCCGTAACGTGGTAGATTCTGATCACTTTCTGTATCATGGGGGAGGGGGTCTTGAAAATACTATAAATTACCTGTTATCGTGTTTTGTCAACAGATTATCAAATTTTATTTTAAATGAATGAACGCAAACGTGCTTCAACGGTAGTGGAATGGTTAAAACACTTTTAATAAACTCTGCGGGATCTCGGAAAAGTCGAGTTTTTTTCCATTACGTGTCTGATATTTTGACAAAAAAAATATATATGTATATATAATAATTTACGCACAATTTTTTTTTTTATACTTGTATATTTTACGAGAACTGGCATATATTTCAGTTGCCCACGCGCGTCATGAAGTAATAATAAAAACGCGATGGCGCCTACGAAGTCGCGGACCTCGACACACCTAGCCCAATAACTAATAACGAGACATTTGTATAATATTATCACAAACGGAACACGCGGGCGCGCGACGATTCATCGTTTCGGCGTCTAGAAAAATTTAATATGCGCTCGAATTAATGTCTGTTGGAAAAATATTATGCTCATTCACCAAAACGGCTGCACCACACGAGTTCGAATGATAAAAAAAAGAAGTCGACACCAATAACATTTGATTTTTTGATTCAGAAATTTGTATCAATTATCAGGGAGGTATTTACACGTTTACTGTTTGTAGGCCTGTGATAAAATTTCACCTTGAATTCTTAAAATGATAATTATTCGACAAGTATCACAAAAAAAACCACTCCTAAACTTGGGGAATAAACTAACTAGGAACCAATAGTAATTGTTACTACATTAATCAAGTACCTATTGAACATATATTCTTGTTTATTCACCATATATACTCGTTTAGTGTTGACAAAGTCGTTATTCGTGTTTTAGTTTATACCATTTTTTCCTGGACCTGTCTTTAAAAAAGCTGCATTACATGCAATTACATTAATATTAGACAAACCACATGCAATTTCTTTGTATTGATCACTATTTAACCGTTTTATTTTCAAGATTATTTTAAGATTTGAAAAAAATATTCTTTCAAATATGTCAGTGTAGGCACATGTTTACAGTGACGTATTTGGCTTAGTTTTATGGGAGCGACACTAAAATTATGATACACAAGGTTTATACTTTAGCTTATATTCTACTCTATTTATCTTACCAAGAAATGTGTTTATTTTTGTGTCTGATGAAGCTTTTCTAACAATAATACATTTTTGTTATATATATAGTATATACCAACAATAAATCATTGATTGGGGTGAGAGCCCCCCTCCTAAAATACGCCACTGCATGCTTATAGTAGTAACGTTGGATTAGGGGGTACTTTCTCGCCCCGTTTAAAGCATAGAGTGACGTACACAATGGTGTACGCAGAGGGGAGGTTAGGAGTAATAATCCCTCATAGGCTTAAAAAATACATGGCTTACCTACTCAAGTTGCGTAAATACGTGAGGTTTTGTTTTTTAAATTATTTATGTCTTATGTATAACACTCTCGTGCCACGTGTTAATGGTCGCACTCCTCCGAAACGGCATGGCCGATTTTAATGAAATTTATTGTGTATATTTGGTAGGTCTGAGAATAGGTCGTAAAGTATTTGTCACCCTTCTACCACCATCCATTGTTTTTTAATCGCGATTTTAGTATTCTCATTTATATATACATACACACCAAATAATTTAGCTTATAATAAATACAATTTTTTTTGTTGATTTGTGTTACCCAGTAACAGAAATGAAAAAAATGGCGATTAATTATAATAAGAAATTATTCGGAAAATGTAATCAACTCAGTGTGTATAAAATTTTGTTGCGAATCATTTTCAATTAAAAAAATATATACGGGTTTTATAACTGTGAAAGGTGAGTAACATAATAAAAGAATATTATCAGTATTCTGTTTTTCATAATTAAGTATTTCAATTTATTCTATTTGTGTGTGTGTGGTTTACATTTAACAATGCCAGCAAATCGCAAAGGGGCTAATATACGGAAGTACAATTCTGTCTTTCATGAAGAAATGTTATAACGAAAAACTATTAGTTCGCCGAAGGTGGACTACCCATTTCCCATCTATTTGTTTTTATTCATTATTGACACGATCAAAACCAAAATAAGATTTAAAAAAAATGTCACTGGCAACGCTTGATGGGACAGCTAGTTTTTCCATATTTTTGTATTTTGTGATATTGGTAACATTTTAATTCGGAACTATTTAAGTGACACCCGTCACGAGGTACAGTAATCTCATTAGATTTTATTTTGTTATTTGTTTTTATATTTACAAAGATTTAAAAAAAATTATAAAGTTTTAATTACAATGACTATGTTCCGTGTATTTGGAACAGCATTTCTACATGGCGAAAAAGTAAATAAATAAATAATGAAAATGAGAATACATTTTAACGATTTGACGTGTTACGTATACGGTGGTGTAACCCACGTCCGGATTCGTAATAGTTAACGGAAACTCACATTGATTCACGGCCACCGTTGTCATTCACGGTCAAATTTTTTTTTTTATGGAAAATGATTAAGCGAAAAAATATTCAATTATTAAACGCTAATTTACGATACAAATTCGTTTATGCGATTAATATGTGTATTTTTCGTATAAATAAATTATTAGAATGAAATAAAAATTAATATGAATTTATTTTTAAAAAAAAATCTCTAACCAACGAGTTTTAACGGTTTTTGTTTTTTTACCAAAGACGACTTTTAGACGACTGACTTTTACAGGTGTATTAGGTCCTCGCGTTTTTAAGGCCTCCATACACATCAAACAAATTTGCGCAACGTCTGTGTTTGTGCAAATATTTTGAGTTATATGGCATGGTTTTAGTAGTTGCGTGACGGTTTGAAACAAGTCGGACGAGTACGAAATTTTTCGCGCAAATATTTCACGATTGACAATTAGTTGGACGTCTATGGCAGTGTTTGAAAGCACCAGCTGTCAAAAGACAGCCAGACAATTAGAAAAACGTATGAATAATATACTTTCTTTACTTATAATATGATAATGAATTATTTATAAGATAATAATTATATTTTATTATTATAGGAATAACTACACATAAAATTCATTTTTTATAATTATGGTGTTTAAAAATGAAGACAATAAAACATTTTGGGCTGTGATGATAGTTTGGAATTTCAGCTCTTCAAAGGAGTCATCACTAACAAGGTATCATAACGTGGACAATAGTCTTTGTTCTACCGTAATTGGGTCCAAATTAAAACATTTCTTTTCGATTGAAGATCTTGTCATTTCTAATATCTCACCAAACATATCTGCATTCATTCTTAAATAGATTTTATAGTCAAGGACTGAACTTATTTTAAGCTTTGCTAATAATCGATCATAGCTAAGTTGATCCTTCTTCTCCAGTCATTCCTTCATCCACAACCTCTGCATTATTTTTCGTTAAAAAAGCAATACTATAGAGTGGCTGCTCAAATTTTTGGTATTTTTAAACGAAAATTGAAGTTTTTTTGTTGATTTATGGGTTGATTTATGCTTATCTTGATTTATGCTTAGTCTTGGTATTACACATGTAATAAGTAACGATTTTATTTTTTTAAAATGTGTCGTTCAACTATATTTAAATAACTAAATTTAATTTTAAAAGTCGTTAATTGTTAATTAGTGTTTTTATGAATTTATTTATTTAAAAATATGTATAAATGCTAATCGTAGAGGTTTTTTAAAATGTATCTTTCCGGTTTTCATTGATTTGTATATAGTTTGTTCAGGGCCTTTCGGCATATTTTGTCTAGGGCATCATAAAACCTGGTGCTGGCACTGAAGGCGTAAGCTCATTTGCGCCATTGGCGTCATTAGCGCAATTTGAGTGCTTGGTTTTAATTTTTATTTTGTTAGATGATTTGCCACAAATTAATAATTTGTATAAACAATAGCTAACACAAAAATTAATAAATAAAACAACTATATATAGATACAAATAATCAAAACCACAAGCTGTTTAACTGCTCAATGTTTAACTAGTAAAATAATAATGATTTAGATACTTTATAATGTTATTGTTCTAAAACCAAATTGATGTAAAAATGATAATTTACAGTCAACAATAATGTTATCTAATGGTTCAAATTTTATTTAAAAAAAAAAAATACTATTAGTATACAGCTATGATAGTAACACAGCACAATAACCCCTTCTCCTTCACTACTCGTCTATCTTTGACGGCAGTCGGGACTTGTATCCCGTCCATACTATGGTTGAGCAAACATTCAAACGAACGCAACGCTACATAATAGATCCCCACATTTGATCATAGCTCATTTATATATTCTAAAATCAACGGTAATAATAAATAATCTTTCGCTAATTAAATCATCAGTGAAGGGAATTTCAATGTTCAAGTAGATAGCTAAATGCTGAAATATCAACCGTTTTGTTTTCCCTACCTACTAATCGAATAGCCAGATTCAGAATCTAATAATAACAACCGATTCCCGAGTATTAAAATTCGGGGATAGAATTATAATATTTTCAACAGCTCACCTGCAACTGTAATATGACTTATCCGTGGCGTGAGCAATAGCGTCTGACGGTGCAGGGTCGTTGGTGCCACTGCTATGCTGGTCGGCCACGTAGTTGATCAACATGTCCAGGTCGATGAATTCCTCGGTACCGTAAACCGCAGTTGATGGGTCCTGCAGTGGTTGCTGGTTTTGATGGTGATTGGATGGCTGCTGTTGGATGTGGTGGTTAACGTGTTGGTCGAATGAATCGGTTGATGAAGGAACGATAGGACCAGGAACGGTTCCCGACCCACACATGTACACTGGCGACGCTTGCGGGGCGGTCGGGTTGCCCAGCCAAAATATCGTGTCCTGCCACACTTGCCAGTCATCCTGCAAAAATACCAAACGAATTTGTATAGTTTCTAACAATTAACAACCGACTATTTTCCGATTAAACAAAACAACAAAAAATTGTTCACAGGTGATAAGTGCACTATCACCAAAGTAACGGGGTTTACTAGTGGTGCCAAAACCCCTGAATTAGATCATTTTTACCATCACCCGTTCAAATAATAATATCTAGGTTTACAAGTAATTTTAATTTTTTTTTTAATTTAATTTTATAACAATTTCTGACTCGAGGCACGTAATTTAGCCACTTAAAGTATACATATTTTCCTAATAGTTAAAAAAAAAAATTAGATATTATTTATTGGGAATTTATTAGTTTGACTAATTATTAGATCATCTGCAAACAGTCCATCAGGCATTTTCTTCTCTTTCCTAATATACGTTCCCAGATAACTTGGTTCAAACTCAAAATTATTTAAAATGGAATTCAAAAATAGTTGTGCTTCAGATGGTTCAACACTTCGTCAGATCAAAGTAAAGTCAAATCGTCCTACTCACCGCTCCTGAGTATCGGTTTAATTGTACCACTTGCTTAGCCATGTCGGCGCCACTGCGGTTACCGATGCAACCGCAGTTACAGTACAGATTCGTTGGGAAAGCGTCATATAACAGCAACAGATTGAGTTGAAGTTCGCAATTCCATTTCGGATAGTATGTAAGAATATAATATGAGAATTAATTTGACCAGGATCGAATAACACAATTACTAATTGTAATATTATCGGAAAACTGAAAACAAAATGTATTATGGGTGTGTGAAAATAATAACAATTTAATAATTATCTTACAACGCATAGACAGACGTACAGCTCTGAATATTATACATAAGTACCTACTCATCGAACATGATTATTGCACTCAAACAATTAATAAAAGGACTAATGAATTTTTTATATTCGGCCGATTAAACGATGTCCGCGTCGATTTTTTAGATTTGTTACATTAATATATCGAATGTGTATTTTATGCGAAATTACTCGTATATAATAAACTGATATTAATAATTACAATTTTCAAACACCTGGTATTGGTTAAAATAATTCAAGTCACACCTATGTATAAGTAGTACGAACATTAATTATTTCCGCATATATCCACCTATGACCTATACTTACACTTTCGAAATATAAAATAAAAAACACTCTAATATCGACCTTGACAAAGTTATTAATTGTATAATAATAATATGACTCTACGATATTCATGTATGCATATTATTCAATTATCCGATAAGTTTGCTATTCAAATATTATATACTTAGGTTGGAAACTGCATTATTATAGATAATAATATAACATAATATATTTATTGTCTCTATTAATAATTTCATACCGTGGTTGTGTACAATGTGTATCATGTTATAATATTATAATACTATTGAGTAATATATTATAAAAAAAATTATAGAGATCGATTCTTTTTAAATAAATTATAAAAATTAGTTTTTGGAATTTATATCTATTAAAAATATTTTAGAAACTGAGAAAGTACAACTGTAACTAGTTCGAAAAAGAAAGAGATAGGTATACAGCCAGGGACGTATTTACCCTAGAGCTAACCAGAACTATAGCCCTAGGCTGCAAATTTTAAAGGGCGGCAAAATGTTGAGTAATTTAGTGATTAAAAAAAAATTGTTTTTAATTTTATTTATATTGTTTTATTCATTTTTATACTCATTTTTTTTGTATACGATACAATAGATTTCTTTTTTTTTTTTATCAAATACAACTATAGATTTCTAATAGAAATAACACTTAATTACTTTTATAGAAAATGATAAACACTTCCAAAATGTTTTTATTATTACCACGATTAACAGTTTGTGAAACATCAACAATTCTAGTACCTTCATATTCCTAATAGCTCATTGATTATATACAATACAATAAAATTGTATACACTCACTATAAAGTACAGAATAAACGGTTATTTTTTTTTGCAATATTTGGAACGTTCAGAATCTAAACAAGCGCTAGGCTCTAGGCGTGTGCCCAGTTTGCCTCCACCTACACCGGCTATGGTTTTCATAAAGGTTTTCCTGGACTTTAGTTAGTTTGAAGTTAGCCTTCAGACAAGAAATGTCTTAGGCTTGAGTAGCACTATAGCGGTTAGGCGGTCTATTTTTACATAACATTGGGAACTTTTATTAATTTTCTAAAATTTATAATTTCATTGTAATAAAATACAAGTGCAAAACCGTGCGGTTATGTCACCGTAATATGACATGTGGAATCATTCCACGCGGTTCCAGCTGCTTATTCTTATGTCTTGTTCCGTTTCCTCATACAATTTTTAGTGATTTTAGGAGCAATTAAATTTATGTTTCTCACCGTGGGTAGATAGCGAATATCCATTATCTACCTACAGAATGTCTGGTTTTGTAAATATATTCATATTTATATTTATTTGATTTTTTTTTTTTAGTATTATCAGTTGTGACTAATCGATACTGCAATTATTGCAGTTTAAATTTATTATTTTACCACGTTATCAATGGATCTTTAAGTAAAAAATTAAATTAATTAATCAACCTTTCATTCGGGCATTCGGTTTATTGTGTAAATTGTTGTGCGATCTCGACCAGAAAAAAAAAATGTTCTTTCGCAATACATCGATTCTAACGAGTTTTTATGTTACAAATATAAAGCCGACTCGTATACGATATACATTACTTTCCCGCAATCGTTCGCTGTTGATAATATTTGACTGAACACACGGACAACTGGTTTTTATATATTTCGTATGGATTTTTTAGTCGTGCTCGCGGCAAGACCCGTATTCGATCTCAAAATGATAATTTCCTTCAGTGCGCGTATATTTGGCAAAAGAATCCTGCGGCTGCAGTATTACTGTTAACATGCGCGAGAAAAAAAAATATAACAAATTATTCATCAACAAACGAGACGAACTTTTGTTTGTTTCGACCGATTTTCGGCTACAGTAAAAACCTTCCGATAAGCGTATTTAATTATGTCGAAAACCTGACTGATCTTAAAACTTTCTTTAAATATTTCTTATCTACTATCGTGAACGTATCCTCAATGGAACGGAAAAACGTTTAAGCGGTAAATAAATAATAAGGTTTTTTTTTGTGTGGGGGGGGGGTGTAAGGAATTTTTACACCAAAACACTAAAAACGAATATATACACGAACTAAATTAAATGAAACAACCGGCCAATATTACCAGCACAGCGCAATTTAAAAAACTAGGTATACGCTCTTTGTAAAATACAATAATTCGATTTCACATCGTATGTTATGTCATAAGTACCTAATATACAATATTGAATAGTATAATACGGAATGGTCGTCAATCGATATTATAATATTCTGTTATCCGAACAAGATCGAACGAACGGCCTCTTTAGAAAAAAAAATATAAGTATATACATAGTATTTATGTATATCGTTGTCACGATCGGTTTTCACTCGTATATAAATATACGAAACAGCAACGCGTGTGTGTTGTACGGGTCGTATAATCAAATTAAATAGGTAAACATTCTCTATTTTTATTTTGCTCTAATATAACGAGTATAATATAAATACGAGATTGTTGCATATTCATGTTACGTGGATACATAATAAAAAAAATGGATAACAAACCGAATCGTATCGATCCCGTTGTTACAATATCTACGGAGAAATGTCTGGTGAATTTTTACGGACAAAATTCTGAAAAATATTGTACATATTATATTTATTATAACTAGAGCCCGGATTTATATGCATTTAAAAAGTGTCAAATATGATGCAAATATACAAGGGAAAAGTGGCTAAATATGCAATTATATGCATTATGTTAAACTTTATAAAATGAGTTTATTTAAAAAAAAAAACACACATTTTTACACCAAAGAAAATTCTGTATATTTTATCAAAAACAAAAAAAAATGAAAATAACCACTGCTATATAATAAATCAATTGAAATTACTCCAAAAAATAATAGAAAACTTAAAAAAAAATACAAATATTTTAAAATATAATTTTTAAAAATTAATAAATAATAATAGGTATACATTTTAAAACTTCAGAACAATATAATTAAAATATTAAAATAGATTATTTTAATAATTTTCATAACAGTGGACAATAATATATTTTTCCATATTTTCTGGTGTCATTGAAGTTCTTTTTTCAGTTAGAATTATTACGTACTGAATTTATACGTACTAAACGACCTTTCAACATCCACCGAAGTTATAAGTGCAAACTTCATACATGAACACATAGAAGGAGTTAAGTTTGGTGGCTGTTTTCTTTCCCTGGCAAAATTGTTGTTATCTGCTTCGCGGTTTGGAATCCAACATTTTTTTCAATTAAATAAAACAATTTTTCTTGAATTATTTTTCCTTTTTGTCCTGGTACTTTTTCCATCGCCAAAATAACATTATTTACAATTTGAGAAGAATCAGACAAAGTTAAACTAGAATGTTCCAAATTTTTTATACTTTTTACTAGTATAAAAAAATGAGATTGAATAAATGTAAGGTCACTTTTAACAGATTCCAGACTTAGCATATTAATACATTTTTGTATACTAACAACATTTTTATCTTCTAGTTTTTGTAAAATTATTTTAAGATTATCAAAATGATCTGCACAAAAATTAGCTGTTTCAACCCATGTCCCCCATCTGGTTAGTACTGGTACTGGCGGCAAGGGCACACTGGGCATTATTTCTTTGTATACATTTACTCTCTGAGGTGCTTTAAGAAATACTTTTTTTAAATTACTTACCAAAGTATTTACATTGAGGTACATTTCTCTAACTTTTTCTGCTAGACGTTGGATCATGTGAGCAAGTGAAATGTGTATCATATTAGGAAAAAATACGTTTAGTGTTTTACCAGCTTTGATTATATATGGCGCTGCATCGGAACATAAAATTAATACTTTTTCATCATTCCCACCACGAGACCACAATATTCTTAGGCTGTCATTTACAAAGCGAGAAATCGTCGAATGATTAATTTTATCTAATTTTTTACATGAAATTAAAAATGGTTTGCTAGCATTTTGTTCATTTAACACACCAACTAAAANCAATTGTTTTTACATAACATGGATGTAAGAAAGACTTACGTAGAGTGCTTTCATCAGGAATGTGTTTTTTTGTATAATTTTGTAAAAAATCGCGGAAGACTGGATTTTGTAGTTTAAACCAAGGTATATTTGCAGCTACGAGGCTCAAACACAGATCTTCATTAAAACTTGATGTTTTTGGTTTGGTTTCATCTCCCAACAACATTTGTTTACTGTTGTTAGAACTTTTTTTCAAACATTTCAAATGAAACTCGGTAGTTACATGTTGCGTTATTTGAAATTTTTTGTTACAACGCACCTGACGATCACAAACTTGACAATAAACTACTAATCCACTAGTGGTAAACACAGTTTTGTCGCGATTTTAAGGCTCAACCCATCGAGTTATGGATGAACCCAAATTAGACTTAGTTTTTGGCATTTTGTCTTTTTTTTTCAAACGGGCTAAACAAACACTACCGCGGACAAACGCATATACAACGAACGATGGTCGATGACTGCGTATTAAATATTAATTAATTGCCATCGTGCCGGGTGGTGGCTATTATTAGGTACCGGTCTAACTAAATAAGATTTATAAATATAGCTTATATAATGCTACGCGAAAACACAATGTGATTATTTATAGAATGATATCGACATAATAAGCTGGGACGCGAGTGTATGTTTATTAATAGTTAATTTATTAAAAACCCATTAAATATTCATGTTATATGCATTTATGAACAAATAACCCCCGAAATATGCAAAATATGCAATATAAAATTTGGAATTTAAATTCGGTGTGATATGATCCGTGGACATTTTAAACCCTCATAGACATGCATACACTTAGTACAAACATGCAAATGCATATAAATCCGGGCTCTAATTATAACTAAAAGGCATAATTTCAGTTTTTCCAATAAGGATGGAAACATACGAATTTATAGTAGTGTGTGTGTGTGTGTAGGCAAAAATCATACGAGGAGACCGCGTCTGGAGTTTATGCGACAGATAATAAAGGGTGTGTAATTTGTACGTAGAAACAAAGGGAACAGGAGAGTTGCTACGAATCAATCTCGGGATTCAATACAAAAAAAACATTATATATATATATACATATATACTACGTATATAATGTATTGAATAATGCAGATCTCATAATATTTAACGCGACCGCGACCCCACAGTACGCTTGTGTCGGGTGCGGTGGCCGGATCCGGCGGCAGCGGTGCCAAGGTCAAGACGTTTGGTATTTATTACCGGGTAACCACGTGGCGGGGGCGGTATTCGCGGCGATCCATATAGATAATATTATATAAACGCGGTAACATTAATAAATATTTAATACCTACGGTGGTAACCTAACCTAACCAAGCGCGCGTGCGGTGGCGGATGTAATAATATCATGTCGGCGGAATTCCGTGGCAGTGTTTTTTATTATTATTATTATTATTGTCGGCTGCCCGCAGGACCGACGGCTTCGGCGACCGCGGCAAGGTGATCCGGTCCGCGAAATATTTCGCCCGCAATACGTTTTCCTATAAAATAATAACACGGCACTAGGCACTAGCGTGTGTACCGGGTGATTTTATTCTAAACGATAATATTACGATATTGTTATTTCACTCACCCCCGTTCTTGTTGCTCGAATAATGAATTATGTTTCCCAATAATAGTTCTGAACGAGTATTTTACGTATACGTCAGGCATAGGTACAGCTAGCCAAAATATTTAGCGTTTATTTGATGAGGACTTGATTTGATGCGGGCTAAGCCCCCGTACTCTTCTCCCGTTTCCGCTTATGGTAATAGGTACTTGTGGACTAGATATTTTAGCGGAAGTAGGTGGCAGCAGGTAAACTTTTGCTTCTCCAACGGGAACATAGCCGGATTTTATTTGTTTTTTAACAATAGTGTTTGTGTGGTTAAATTTATTTATACTGATCTATAATAATAATATATCGTACTCGTGTCCAATATAATATTATACTCGTAATACGGTGTGATCGATATTGGACCTCGGACCTATATGCGAGCGTGTCCGGAAAATATACTTTACGAAGTTTCGCGTGTGTACATAGGTTAACTTTAGCCACCGAAAATGAACAAAGAATTTTTTTTTTATAGTATTTTTGGGAATTTGTAAAACTGTCACGATAATGGCCTATTATAGTGGATACAATACGCAATCATAACGACTGTCAATTTATTCGATGCAATATTTTGAAACCAGAAATTAGTTGTTGTACCTTTAAAATAACCAGGACCTATGTTTGAACAAATTGTATAAGACCACATGCTGATGCATATATTATATTCATTTAAAACATTTTGTTTTATCGTTTTATAAACGTTATTATGGGTAATTGGGTATGATCATTTGTTCTGCGCTGATGTGTAACGGCCAGCTCGTGTTGTGTGACCGACAGTAGCGGCTCGTGAGTAAATATTATGGGGAGACTTAAATTATATAATATAAATTCCATGCAGCAACGAACAAGAAAAACCTTTTTATTGAAAAAAATAATTATATTAATACTTCATTTAATTTATTTAATTAATATTTTTAACTAAATCTAATACTAAATTTGTTTATAAACTAATTCAATTCTGCGATCTTTTTTATCGGCAAACTCGTCAATAACACTATCTACAAAAGTTGGATCCTTTGCCACATCACCCAGTAGATTTTCTTCAATTGCCAAGGATGATAAACTTGAAAGCCGTTCATCATTGGTCATTGTGTTTCTAAGAAAAGTCTTAATACGTTTTTATGTACTCATAAACCGTGTACTAGAAACCGTTGTAGATGGAATAGTTGACACTAACTGACAAAGTATGTTAAGGCATTGAAACCACTGGTTAGTAAAAATTCTATTATTTTGTCTTTTTGCATTTTTAAAATAAGAACAAAATAAATACTTATAAAAATGCCAAAATAATAAATATTAGATAGGTAACCGATAAACGTATAGTAGTTGTTAAATAATGAATAAACAGCGACTAAAACGTCTAAAACTAATTAACAACGGCGCAGCGGCACGGCAATAACTGTTGCGAACCCAGGTTCAATAGCGTCTATAATACGTGGATTATTCTCCCCGGACCCCTCCGTCCAACCAGCCATGCCATTACGTGTTACGATGGAAACTGTCGGGCTTCAGTTTCACTGAACCGGCCACCGTCGTAGAAATGACTAAAATAGTATTTCCATCGAAATAACTATTAATAGGTTTTATTTTATTTATAATCTATAATAATAAACAATGAAAACGATATAATATATTTTCAATTTAAACAAAAATATCTATATGTTATTATTTTTAATTAATTATTATTTACGAGTTTTTTTTCAAGGAGAGACGCAGTCTCAAAGTCTCCCCTGACGAGAGCCGCCCCTGGTGACCGATTAATGCACGTCCAATATCGTCGTTCGCCGAATATAAAATAAGATAGAAAATAATATTTTCTCACAACCGAATCTTATAAATAAAGTCCTTACACAGTAATCACGTTTTACCGGCATTGTTTAAAAATGTATAGAGTACAACATTATGCAATGTATAATTATTTCGAAGATATTAAATTTATTATTATTGTTATTTTGTTAAATAAATGATTTATCGATGTTTTAGTTGAATTCATTTAAAAACATATAACTTAATATGTGGGTTAATATTATTGAAGGAGTTAAAATAACGAGTTTGAACAATTTGATTATGTTTGATATACTTTTTTGATTTTAAAATGTCGAAAACAAATTGACAATCTGAAATGTTTTCTCTACATAATCCTTAATTGTTTGAGGTACAAACGATATTTTACTTTCATAAGTTAGAATTACTTTTATCTTCAGAACAAACCAACAATTACCCTTTTATATACTTATTACACTGACAAAATGATAGAAATAGTCTTGCGGCGGGGTTTTGATGGACTTCAGAACAACTACTGCTGAGTAAAGGAAGATAACTAAGGCTTAAAGTTTGAATAAAAAAAATACCGATGCACACGAATTGCATCCCAATATACAATTATTATTTTCCTTTCCATTTTATACAAATTTAGGATTGTCAATAGCAAATTATTACTATCGGTAGGTTAAAATTGTATGACTTACACGTTGTTTTTACAGCAATTTCTACGTTGAATATCGTTCTTCAATATTTTATGGAAATTTGTATCCATCTATATTAAATAAAGTAATTTTAGGCCAGTACGATTTATTAAGAAAACTAAGAACATAACAACGTTTACGATCCACGATCCAAATCAGACTAAAAGTAAAATTAAAAATAATATATGGGAAATATAATTTTCAGATTATACGGATATCGGGTAATCGTTTTTATTTCGGGACGCAATTCGTGTGCAGCCAAAAATACTAATCCCTGTTTCAATTGTCACAAACAATTAAACAAACAAGGTGTGATAGAAGATAGAACAAATACATGTATTCGTATGTATTTTTAGTTAACAATCGCGTCAGTAGGTATATAGAAGTGATAAAGAATTGTTGCTTTTGCTTTTTTGTATGTAGGTACACTTACATACAAACTGTGTATGTGTATGTATTTAGTGACTTGCTAAACATATATGCTATATAGTAATGCAACCTTTCTGATTTGTATTGATTAATAATAATAATTGTATGGCTCTCGGTATAGATAAATCAAATATTATTAAATAAAATGTCGGGCTTACGTACATAGCAATTATATTTTTTCATGCATTATCTTAATAAATTAAATCCGTGTTCAAGATCAAATCAACTGATATTGCCATAATTTATAATACAGATATTAATTACAAATATTTTTAAAAAGTAAAAGTGTAACAAATACTCGTAAGAATTTAAAAGTTCTTATTTTTCTTTTTTTTTTGTACCAGATTTGGATTTACAATGATGTAGCCAATGTAGACCAAACCCCCAGTGATCGTGTTTTTAATATTTTATCATGTTTTTTTTATATTGATGTTACATTTTGGCATGTGTGGTATAAATATTTTCGTATCTCATTGATTAAGTAAGTACTTATAGTATATATTTAATAATACTATTTATTATAATAGCGTGTTCATATTATCATAGTTAAAGATATTCTGGTTGGCGAATGAACAATAAGATGACCGCCAAATATTGTATCAAAAAGTACTGTGACATCTGGTACCATCTAGTAGGTATATTGTATGTTATGGTGCATAATTAAATATTTTATTGGTCTAGAGATCTAGTTCTTAAGTTAAGTTAGATTAGATACAAATATTTTATTATTAACAGTAACAAAAACTATTAAATGTTTAATCAACAAGCTTTTCTATCCCTAAAGTAGTTAATATTTTGTAGTACACGGTAATAGAATATTGCTTCTTTCATATTGGATTGTAAATTATTACAATAATATAAAACGGTAAAGTGAAAAAATTCAAAATATTACTTAGATACTTAGTGTATTAAATTTACACAGTATTTGGTTGGCATTTAACCGGATTCCCAAGTAGCATTCGTACATTCAAAGTAAGTTGCACAAATATAATTATTGTTGTTTTAATACTATTATCCCTAATAAATTTCTCCATAGTTCTCTTTTTATATTATCTTGAGTCCTTAAGGTACTTCCAAACGGAGTTTTTTAAATAATATGTGGACTTTGTGTACAACATCATCTCGGCATTTTATTTAAACAAATTATTTGTTTTTAATTATTTTTCAGGTTATTATTATTTAGCTAAAAACAAAATAAAAAAAAGACGTCCTAGAATAAAGAGGACGGATATAGCCACTGTTAATGTATACCTGTAAGCAACGACAAACCACTGCTTACGAAAAAACGATTCTGAGCGGAGTTCAGTTGATAGTGATGCTTTGTCAACAATATATATGTTATTTTATGGTAAAATAATTAAATAGGCTTATATACTTTCTTTAATAATATTTGTTTAATGTTGTACCGATTTTCACAATTTTCAAGTTAATCATGTATTTAAACTATAGTTTTTAAAGTAGGTAACCCACCGATGATAAGAACATAATAAGCTAACTAAACGTAATACAATGTATAACCAATTATCACCAAAATTATCATATAATTAGTATATGATCTGAATCATAGAGTTAAATAGAATCTATTTAATCTAATTCATATTGTGAGTAATAAGTTAAGTTGTTAAAGTTAATCATAATTCATATTAATACATAACCTCAATAAATAGTCTCAATTTAGACAATACATGATTTATACTAAATTTAGTTGAATATAGATAATATAATGAGAAATAAAAGGGTAAACTTTGTAAATAAATTAAATAAATATGATGATAAATTTTATCGCATAATGTGTATAGAAAATGAATAATTTAGAAGGTTAATGAACAAATTATATTATTATTATGACTTGAAATGTAGATAAGTGTGAGCTTTATAGTGTAATGGTGGGTTTAAAAAATTTTGAAGATTTTTTCATAGCGGATTTAATTGTAAATCAAGCTACTACTCAGTTGAAATTATAATAATCCCGCTTAGATTTACTATTTCATCTACAATCGCATCCCAAGCCTAATCATAGATTCAACTGTAGTACGCATTATTCCCGAACGTACGATATCGAATACACGAACACTTGCTTTATATTAGATTATTATGACGGTAACACGACATAATATTTGTGTGTTAACATACACACGAAAAAATATTAAAATATTATATTATTATGATGTATTCAAGGCGATTCGTACTAGAAGACAGACCGGTAGGTAAGTATCAAATAAAATATTCACATAATCCTCAGGACCGAAAACCGGTCGGTGTTCAAAAATTGTTACTTATCTATCGCGTGTTTCTAACGACGAGAATAATATTTATATATTTCTCTGACTGTATACCTTAAACACCCGTAAAGAACGTTTCGAAGTAATAATATTGTTCGTAATTCGACGTCTTGCAGCAAAATTGTTTCTTAAACAAAAGCCCATTCAATTTTTTCATCGAAATAGTTCAATTATATTTATGTCTCGTATGAAAACGGTTAAAGTAGTTACTACAATGATTTTTAAAAATTTCCCCCTTCCTTGTCTTTCCCAAGCAGAATATATTCAATATTCGTAAATTATAGCAATTATTTAAACTGGTTTTCTCATTTACTGTCTTTCTCTCTCTCTCTAAAATCTACTTAAACGCGAAATATTAAATTTACAATTTTGAGTAGGTATATCATTTCACCGCTGCGTGTATAGGTCCTTGAGTCAAAACAAAATTATAATAATTGAATGCCAAAATCGCCGTTTCGAGCGATTCAGTTTCATATTATTACACTATTTTTTATCTTTATCACTTTCTATCTTTTTATTATTATTATTATTTTTTTTTATGATACAATTATGGAAATTTTTTTTCTTTTTTGATGTCGTTAAGAAGAGTGATTGTGATTTTTCATGCATTTAAACTAAAAATAAATTTATTGCCACATGCATACTGTATTAGTCCGATTTGAATTCGTTAGCCTATTTCCTTTATTTAGTATAGAAACAACGTATAAAGTTTATCATTTACTATGTATTAAATATTCGATGTGTCGATAACACATTAAGTAATTAAAGCTCAAATAAATTGTAAAATATCATTATATACCTATTAATCACATTGTAAATTAAATAGAACACATAGGAGGGAAATCCTGTGTCCGTTAACCATCACTCCAAAAACATGGTTCGGTCTTGACTAGACCCCGTGTTTGATGTCACG